AATGGATGAAAAATGAATTCTATCTAACGAAGAAACACGTGTTAAAATGGTCCAACTGTGGGCATATCTTCTTGTTGGGTTTTGATAATGTTAAACCGATGTTGGATAAAAATAAATATCGACACTCAAGAATGATGACCTGACCCTAAGACTATTTGGGCCATTGAAAGCAACCTAGTTAATTAATGTTGCTCATGGCCCAGTTTCACACTTATTGGATGGCTTATATATGTTGGCCCACGTACCCTTTTTGTATTGGGTTTGGCCCCATCACTTAACCTAACCTAATCTCTATATGCTAGCCTTCTTGGTCTTCTATGATTAACGTGTGTTTTTGAGAGAAAAGTCCCTGCCTCTTGCTTTGTGCTCTTGCTTGGCCGATTTCTTCTTGTTCTTCTCTAGTCTTTGTAGTAGTAGCCTTTGTGCTGAAAACACCGTCCCTTTGCATGGAAGAAGTTAAAGGTTTTGGGTCGTGATTGCTTGGATGTATTGATAAGGTTGAGATTGGTATCCTGAACCTAAAATTCCACCAACTAGAGGTCGATTATTCAACACTTTTGAAATTAAACAACCAAACTTGTAACAAAATGATGATCAAATGGGCCATAGGCTCTCCCTCTTTTCATCTTTTGGAAGTCATAAGTTTTGCTTTGACTCCTTTTGTTTCTTTTTGTTTGTGGGGTTTGCAAGTGAACGTGCCTGTCATGAAACTGTAGGGCCATCTATCCTTCTCAACATTACCCTTTAATTATGATCTGGAAAGAATCTTAGGCGTTCTTTGAAGTTGGTGGGATGCAATTATCTACAAACCCCATTAACGTGCTGGTTATATTCAAGTAATTTCGATGTGGTTGTTAAACCAACTTATTTAAAAGTTGAAATACAGGATCAAAGCAAGTAAAATTCAAGTTGAATTCTACCTTGTTGTTCCCCATTTACCAAAATTGTGCTGAGTGTGAGAGTTTTAATGAAAAAAAACTATGAAGTGAACATGCAAGTGAAGGAGCATAACGAAGACTCCAGGATGCTTAAACGTATCCCACATTTAACATTTTCACGTTTTAAGCATCAATTTGGTTGGGATTAAAATCGAATTTTTATTAAATTTTGATAATAGTAGGTGAAAAGTGTGGTTGAAAAACAGTGAATCCTATAAATATATATGGTTGAAATTAATTGTCGACTTTCACAATTTGACTTAAATTAAAATTTACATTCTAATCTCTATCAAGCATGAGCTAAACTGTTTATTGGGACGTTTAATCTCTAGTTGAGAAAGAACTTCCATATCTTTAACAAATAGTGGGATATAATTATAAATGGATGGTCAATTTCCAGAACATATTTCTTCTATCTGTATATTTTTCTTGAGATGGAAATCCCTGTTGCAAAAAAAGGGAATGAGAGAAGAAACGTGATTCCCAATTTTTTTTATTATTACTTTTTCTTTTTTGGAAAAAAAGGGCTCATTATATTGTAATTGGTGATTTTAACAGGTAATTAGGATATTTTCAAATGTGAGGATATACATTTTTAAGGGTTTAAATATAATCGATAAACAGGGGCGGACCCACATGGGGTCATGTGGGGTCAAATGACCCCACAAAATTTTGCGCCTTTTTTTCTTCTTTATATATATACTTTGATGCACTCGTCGGGATGCCAAATAAAGTTAAAATATTACATTTTTAATACCATTTCGAAATGTTCATGACCTAGTTTTTCACTCATTAATGGCATGCGAAGTAATCAATTATAGGAAAAGTTATGACATATTAAAGTAGGGCGTTTGAAACTAGTATTTTGAAAATTTCAATAAAATCCTAACTTTAAAAATTTGTTTGCGATCATGTGTAATATGAATCCACAAATCATCTATACCATGTAAGAGTTCGTTTCGAAAACTACATCGTTTTCATATCGAATGGTTCAAACGAATATCGAAAATAGTTAAATATATATCAAACGTACGCCTCAAAAAAAACGTCTAAGTCATTTTTTCTTTTAAAAAATTCAATTAATTATTATTTTTGCACGTAAATTTTTCAATATAATTTATATCATTTCATTTGGAAGTCTTCCATGAAATATGATGTAAATTTTTTAGGATTGTTACGGATTAAATGCAATTTGAATTACTTTC